TCCAGGCCAAAGGAAATGGCTGTGGTCAAACCAATGGTACCATTTTGGGTGCACCACCCATTTTAGAACCTATTTTAGTGGGGATTGGGATGTTCACTGGGGGTACGATTTGGATTTTGAGCCATGGCCAAATGTTGAGAACCCCTAAACATGTCCACCTTGAGCCCGCTACTAGAACTGCCTGCTTTCCCGGGTGTCCCATAGAGGTGATGCTCACTGGGCCGTGGCTTTGGAGTTCAGACAAGCACGCATCAGCCCGTTTCGTCAAAAGCAAGATCCGGGGGGTGGTATTTTTTGGCGGGTTACACCAAATTTGGGTGCAGGTCAATACTAAATGGAAACAAGGACTAAACCCTGCGGTCCAATTCCTGGTTAAATTTTGACCCACACCCAAATGTCTGCCGCTCAATTTCAACCCCAGTTTATTAATAGGGGGGTGTCCCCCTCCAAAAGTGACGATTCCCGACTGAACCCAGGGACCCCCCTATGAATAAACTGGGTTTGATTCTGTGGGGTCAACATTAAATTAAAGGATTGATAAACGAACAAGTCTTTGGTGCATGTTGCTTTGATGTTCCTGGTTTTCCGTTAAACCACCAAAAGTCAAACTTTTAAAAGGAAAACAGAAAGCAACCAAGGAAACTCACAAATTCCACAAAGCGATGCTTAAACTGGCTTAGGGAAACATTGAGGGCACCATGTGGAGGCCTCGGGTGAAAGGTCCCGAGAAAATATGTCACCCGAGGCCTGCAACGCCCAGCCCTGCCCGGTGGACTGTGAGTGGGGCACCTGGACCGACTTCGACGCCTGCACCACCACCTGCGGAGGAGGCGAAAACGGGATCCCGGGTGAGAGGTTCGGCCGGGCCAAAGAACTACAGAGCAAGGGCCCCCCTGATATGGGTGTGGTTCAAGAATAGGTACCCAAAATGGAACGCTGGTGAATGGCAACAATGACTAGAACCTGCTGTCCCCTGGTGGCTTTATTTTGACCCATACCCATATGCCTGTTTCGAGAAACCACGGTGTACATGGTTTCTTGGGTTTCCAACCAGTTTCCAACTTGTTAGTCGTAACGTGCTTTTTGGGGACTTGGGACCTGACAGAAGGCCCATTGAAGGGGAAGTTGGTTTTCCAGGTAGGTACTGCGTTGAAGGGTTAAGTAGTACTTTGCAGGAAGTAAGGAGTGGAAATTGGTGGGTTCGTAGTGAGTGGTAGTTGGCAGTGGCTAGCAGTTTTCAGCGGTACTTGGCCGTAGTTAGTGCTCAGTAGCTAAAGTTAGCTGTAGGATCCCCTGAATAGCAGTTATTGGCAGCTGGAAGCAGAAGGTAGGGCAATTGCATTGCGTCGCAGGCTTTTCTTGATGCAGCTGTCCTTGGGGGGAGCTCTGGTTTGTCTTTGGAACGATGCAAGCAAGGTTTCAAGCATCTTCTGAGCTTTTGAAAGACGACCAAACTGCGGCATTCACGGTCTCAGGGTTGTGAATGATTTGTCCTTGTTCTGATTGGGTCGAATGGGAGCAAGCCACTTGGCACGCAAATTATATCCACGGTTCTGAGGGCACCATACCCCGCGTTACGGAGACAGGGCTTGGCGACGCAGGCAAGTCGAAGCGAGAGCGCATCGTCTGGGTGGCACCTGCTCACGGAGGCGCTGAATGCGAAGGTTCAGCTGTGGATGAGGACCGCCGCACATTGCGCCGGTATCTCGATGGGGGAATTCACAATTCCCTTGACCCTTGTTGCAAAACGTCCCTCTGGAAAGCCAGGATTCAGTCAATGATTGAATGGGGGGTGCGAAAGAAAGAGGAAGCCAGGAACCTGAGTTCGAGGGTCCGAGGTCCAAATCTCCTGAGCCCAAAATCCTGCCACTTCGCTTGGAACTTTGTGACTTCATGCGAGCTTCACGCGAGCACCAACCTCACTTGCTGATCTTTGCCAAGCAAAAAAGGCTGGCTTGCGTGTTTGCGTGTTTGCGTGTTTGCGTGTTTTCGTGTTTTCGTGTGTGCGTGTTTTCGTGTTTTCGTGTGTGCGTGTGTGCGTGTGTGCATGTGTGCGTGTGCGCGTGGGCGTGTGCACGTGTGCGCTTGCGTGTGCGCGTGCGTGTGCGCGTGCGCGTGCGTGTGTGCGTGTGCGTGCGCGTGTGCGTGTGGGTGTGCGTGCGTGCGTGCGTGCGTGCGTGCGTGCGTGCGTGCGTGCGTGCGTGCGTGCGTGCGTGCGTGCGTGCGAGCGTGCGAGCGTGGGTGGGTGGGTGGGTGGGTGGGTGGGTGGGTGGGTGGGTGGGTGGGTGGGTGGGTGGGTGGGTGGGGGGGTGGGTGGGTGGGTGGGTGGGTGGGTGGGTGGGTGGGTGGGTGGGTGGGTGGGTGGGTGGGTGGGTGGGTGGGTGGGTGGGTGTGTGTGTGTGTGTGTGTGTGTGTGTGTGTGGTGTGTGTGTGTGTGTGTGTGTGGTGTGTGTGTGTGTGTGTGTGTGGTGTGTGTGTGTGTGTGTGTGTGTGTGTGTGTGTGTGTGTGTGTGTGTGTGTGTGAAGCGTCCTGGAGCACGGACGGAAATTCCACATTGCAGGGGGACTGGAGCCGATTTGCCTATCCAGTCCAATGAAGCTACGGCATTTCGGTGGATACCGGATCTGATCAATCCGGCGTACCTGCCTATTTCCTGACCTCTTTCCTGATTCTTTTTGCGGTTTCTGTTTGTCGCTGTTGCTTCCTGTTCGGTGTCGATGTTGTGACCTGTTGATTTGCATTTGCATTCAAGCATTTTTACTGACTGCGTTTTGCATCTCGGCTAGTGAAGCCTCTCGAGATAAGTGTGTTTACCCACGGCCTGTCCGACATGGCGCTGTGGGCTGGACTCGCCATATGCGGGAGCCCCCTGCGAGGGGAAGACCGTTCAAGTGTTCAAGTTCAAGCTGCAGTTCAGTTCAGCGCGTTTGACCACGATCAAGGCTGCAGCTTGAGGTCTTAAGGTATTCCGCACCCAAATGGTGCTCTGCTGGTTTCATGCGCCTGCACTGCCTGCACTGCCTGCCTTTGAAGCAAGGCTGCACCCACGAGGTTTCAGGCTCCTAAGCTTCATGCGCCAGTGACGAGTTGGTCATACACCAACTCTGCGATTCGTGGCGTTTATGGAAGCTTTCGTCTCGGATGAGTTCAGTTCAGATTCATCGGCATAGCCACATGAGGCACTTTCATGAGGCCACTTGACAGGCACCTCTGAGAACCCCTTTGTGCTCGCATGCATTTCTGTGGAAACTTTTGCCGTTGCCGCGGGGTTTTGGCGGTCCCCTGGTGGAATTCCCTCTGTTTGGTTTCGATTCGCAGGTTGAAGTTGGCTCGCATGCATTTGCACCATTGACGCATTTTTGCCGCAGTTGTGGTTTTGTTTTCACCCCTTTCCAACCTTCTCTCTCCCTTGCGAGATGGCTGGACACCAGCTCTATGACATGATGCATTCGCTCCTGCATAGCATTGCGACCGGCACCGCGTCCGGCTCACCAGGCAATTGTGGACCGAACTTGCAGCTGTCATCCCAGATGACGCAGCCCATGAACCTTGTACCGTCACCCAACTCGCAGACGGCATCCTTCACACCTTTCCCCATGATGCCCTACGGCGGCCTCTCGAACTTTGGCAACCCGATGGCCATGATGCCCTACGGTGGCCCTCCCAATTACGGCAACTTGGCACCTGGCACCATCATGCCTTTCATGACTCAGAGCAGCATGCCATCTTCACCGCCCGAGCCTCAGCCGGCGCGCGCGCCCGAAGCTGCCGCTGCGGCTCCTGCCGCTACCTCCTCAACCAACCACCCTCCCCCGGACACTCGGCACCATCCCCACTCTCGCAGATCCCGTTCCCGCCACAGACAGCACCGACACTCCCACTCCCACACCAGCCACCATCGCAGGCACAACAAGTCGCACCGACGACACGACACCCGACGATCCCGCAGCTACAGCAGGTCACGTTCCCTTTCCCGACACTTCCACCACTCCCGACGTGCACACCACTCCACTGTCTCCCTCCGCTCCCGCTCCCCCCGACACAGGTCCCACCATCGACACTCCCCTGCACCCAGAGCCACGACTTCGCACCGACCCACTCACACTACTCATGATTCCACCTCCTGGCGCACTTCCGGGAAGGATTCCAACAAGTCTCAATGGTCCTCCTCACACTGGCGGAACCAATCGTGGGGATACCCACCACAGAACAAAAACCGCTGGGACATGCACCACCATGGCGCCAGCCACACCGGCCACCGAAACAACCAGGGCAAACGACCGTCCTGGTCACTGCAGCACCATGGGCAGCAACCCCACCCCACTTCCCGCACCGGCCACCACAACACTAGCTTGCCCCCTCACCCAGCACCTGCGGCGGCCTTCACTTCCACTCCCCCTCCCCCTCCCCGACCCACGCCGGCTACTCCTCACCCTCCCCAACCCCCCTTCGACAACACCGGTGATTTGGACCCCCCTCCATCGGAGGCGGGCATCAATGCCACCACCACTTCCGACAACCGGTGGCTTGATCTATGGAGAAACGTCATGGACACGGCCAAGACTGACCCGCTGCGAGTTCCCACGCCTAGGGAGTTGGGGGAGCTGGACCCGCTTCCAGCCTTGGACATCTCCAGGGTGGAACAGACTAAGGCCATTTTGATGGACCTGGACCCTGCTTTGCCACCTTCACATGCCGATCTCCTCGCGGAATGCTGGGAACTGCGAACCATGGACACGGATGATCCCATACCGTTCGATCCCAGCTTCTACCACCTCTTGGGACGGGAATCACACGGCATGGTGTTCGCAACCACTTGGTTTCCCCGACCTCATCCTTGGCCAGTTGCTGGCGGAGACCCGGAAGCTGGATCCGGCACGGCCTCCCATCACGCTGTCATGTATGTGCACGGCACCACCCCGGATCGAGTGCGCCGCATGTGCCATGAGAACATGATCCGACCCGCTGCTTGGAGGCCCGAGAACCATGACTACCCGAGCTTTGGATGCTACGCTCAGGCCACCCCCACGGCATGCACGCCCGACACGCTCGGCCAGCTCTTGCAGAACTTTACAATCGGAAAGTCTCAACTCGGCGCCATCGCTTTTGGGGAACTACGCTCCATCAATCAGCACAAAATCCTCGAATCCGGGGGAAGCCACGAGGATCAACACAACGTGCGGCGCCACTTCGCATGCCGCCGAGGCAAAAAGTGGTGCCTTCACTCCAAGTTTGCGATGCTGAGAGGCATCGCGCTGCAGCGCCCGGCTTAGCGGGGCGCAAGTGTACCATCTTCCACCCAACCAGGAAAAGAATTGGTGCACTGTTTGATCGCCTTTTTTCTTTGCTTTGCTGTTCTGCCTTTCCGCGACCGTTCTCTCACCTTGTGACCTTACCCGCTTGATTCCGCTCACCAGCTTGTGGTTCGAACATTTCCTTTTCCCCCGTGTTTTCTCATGGCTTTCCAACCCCCTCGAGGTTTGGTTACGGCGCTCCAAAGGCAAAACTTACCACCGCAGCCTTCGCCCACGGCATCCCATCATCATGGCATCGTGTACGGCAACAACATGGCCGGGAACCCGTGCGGGGCCCTGTCCGGGCCTTCCTACGGATGCTCTTCCACGGCATCGGCACCGCCAGCTACACATCCGACTCCCTGTCAGACCTACGGCCAACCTATTCCCCGTTACCCACCACACCCCGGCCCTCGTCCACCCTCCTTTGGCGGCTCTCTCCCCCCCCCTCCCGGCGGCAACCCCTTTCCCCCCCCTCCCCCCGTCCATCTCAGGCCTCCCTCCTGGACTTCGGCATAAAGCGACCACGGTTGACTACACCTGACACATCACCGCAGGACGGATCCCCCGCTCTACCCCTGCCCACTCGCATTGCAGACGACTCCCAACCCCCCCCGGCTCCCCCCACCCACGGCGGCAACCCTCCAGCCCCCTCCACCCACGGCGGCACCCCGACCCCTCCCCCCCTCCCCTCCCCACCCACTTGGAAGGAGCCCCGCGACTTGCTCCAACCACCTCCCCACGTTTGCCAATGGCTCACCAGCAACTTCCCACCCGACATTTCCGACACCAAAGTCCAGCGATGGATCACCTCTCAGAAAACCAGCAAAGAGAGCAAGCAAGTCCTAAAAAGCTGGTCCAACGACTGCGCAAAATGGGCAACCACACTGGACTCCGACACCAGAGCCCAACTCGAACGAGCCGCTGTGCTATGGGGCATCCCGGTGCGAACCCTATCAAAACTGGGGTCATCGGCCTTGGGCCGCATCCTGGCCGCTGCGAGTCACTTCTACCAGTGACTCTCAACAGCACACCGACAACGACGCACAGCCAGGCAGCACAAATTTTGGCAACACCACTGCTGCCAACTTCTCACTGTCCTCCGTTTCACTCTTCGGTTCTTCCCAACCGATGACGTCACCGCACGTCATTCTTGCTCCTGGCTACTCGCACAGCTTCAGCTACTTGACGTCTGCCATCTCTCCTGTGGTTCCGGCAGACTGAAAGCCCTGCTTACTCGACTTGGCCTGGACAACCCTGCTTCCGATTTCTCTTCTCAGCTTGTCCCTTCAGCGGTTTATCTGAGATTCACCAGCCATCCAAAGTGGCAGGCCTTTTTCTACCTCGGAGCCACTCGCGCCTCCCTCATGGCACGGGGCCGCAGCCAACTTCGCAAACTACTCCAAGTTCAGCGACATCATCTGGTCAATGCCGAACTGGCAGTCCGGTGGTGGGCACATTTTGACTTTTTCCACCACTACACCTCGGTGCCCATTCACACTGTCGTTCCGGCAACGGACCTATTTGCCACTGAACAGTTCTACATCCAGGAACTGCAACCGTCTCTCAATTTTGGCTTCATCGAGAAACATTTCCGGCCACGCACGGGCTTCATACGCCAATTGGACTTCTCCCAATCCCGGCACATGGGCTTCGCCACCATCTGGCGAAAACGCCGCCGACTACGACTACCCATCGCCCTACAACAGGCCTTCCTGGCCAAACGCGTGGACAACCGCCTGGATTTGTGGCGATTTTTGGGCGATCTTGGCAGCAACACTCTACGACGATTTGATGCCATCCGTTACATACGGACCAGAGACTTCCCACCCGCCGCTCTCTATGTCCTTCATCGCATAGCCACACACCTGCCTGAACCACACCACCAGGCATGCCTTTCCGCCATTCGATCCAGTTTACAATTCCGGGGCCTCATTCCACCTGGCCCCTCGAGACCGATGCTTGCACCCTTCCTCGCCTGGCGACTACTGCTAACCTGGTACCGACAACGACAACCACACTCCTCTACCACACACCTCACAGTGGACACACTTGACACCTCTGCCATCACCCGCGTCTACAACGGACGCCGTCGCCGACACAAACCCACACAACGCACCCTGTGGCTCGACGACATCCCCGAGATCATTCAGGCCACCCTTGACATGCAGATCTTCTCTGTCGGCCTTCGTTCATTCAGGCAAACACGTGGGGCACCGATGGGATCCCCCGCGTCCCCAGCTCTCTGTTTGATGGTGATCGCGGTCGCCGAACAATGTTGGACCAACACTCACATCACATCGGGACTTCGCTCCGTTGAAGATACTCTCCTACTCCGCTACGTGGACAACAGACTCGTGATCGCAACCCCCAGGTGGCTCTCGACTCCGGCAGCCAACATACTGTGCGACGAACACTTCTATGGAGGAGACATCTTCCTGGACACAGAAGCCGCCCTGGACTTCTTGGGGTTCCGACTGAACCTCACAAGCAGCACCATCTCCTTCATCCCCTCGCATGAGAAGCACAACATGCTCTCCGTCAAGTCAGCCGCACCACTGATGCATAAGGAATCTGGATGTTATTCCGGACGCACGCTGATCAACCGAGTTTCCTTTCCTGAGTTTCAGCGAGGTCAGGGTCTTGCAATGTTGAAGAGGTTGCACCTCCAACACGGTTTCACCTTACAAAGAGAAGAAAAACCGTCCTTTGCGGAACCACACTGGTTTTCTTCTCTGCCTTTGCATCCTGACAGATTTGACCTGATTTTCGCGCCGCAGCTGTTTGACTGTTTGACCAAAATCCGTTACGAGCATGGATACCAACACAGCACGCCAGCTGCTCCAAGACTTCGAACTCATCCTTGGCATTGCCCAACAAGGCATCGCCACCATCCGCGAGTTCCCTGAGAGTCCGCCTGCCGAACCTGATTTGGCACCGGAGGCCACGTTCAACCCCGCCATTGAGGACCTGACCAACTCACCACCAACACCCCTCCTGGCCCCCCTCGAGGACCTCTTTGAGCCACCTCCTGATGCTCCAGATGAACACCTTCCCACTGATCATGACGAACAATTCCCTGATCATTGGGCTCCGCCCACCCCTCCTCCGTCTTCTCCCGGCGAAAAACGAGCTCGCCGCGCACGTGATTTGGCCTCCTCACGATCTACGGCATCCAAAACCTGCTCGTGGACCAAGCGAAGCTACCACATCGACCAGGACTGATGCCTCTACTGAGGCCGAACCTGAAGCCTCGCAGCCTTGGACTGAGGGAGAGATTGAACTCCTCCGTTCCCTTAAGACCAATTCCAAAGCCAAGTATGTGTGGTCAGTCATCGCCACAAGACTTTCTCGCACAATTGATGCTTGCAAGACTCAATGGGCCTTGCACAAGTGATGTCGCCCCAGTTGGGGCTCCGTGTGTGTGAAGCGTCCTGGAGCACGGACGGAAATTCCACATTGCAGGGGGACTGGAGCCGATTTGCCTATCCAGTCCAATGAAGCTACGGCATTTCGGTGGATACCGGATCTGATCAATCCGGCGTACCTGCCTATTTCCTGACCCTCTTTCCTGATTCTTTTTGCGGTTTCTGTTTGTCGCTGTTGCTTCCTGTTCGGTGTCGATGTTGTGACCTGTTGATTTGCATTTGCATTCAAGCATTTTTACTGACTGCGTTTTGCATCTCGGCTAGTGAAGCCTCTCGAGATAAGTGTGTGTGTGTGTGTGTGTGTGTGTCTGAGCGTGTGTGAGTGTGTCTGTGTGTGTCTGTGTGTGTGTGTGTCTTTGTGTGTGTGTGTGTTGCGGAACCTTAAGAATGCCTGTTTTCCTTTCGGCTTGCCGCCTCTAAACCAACCCCCAAAACCGGGGCTACCTCCCAGAAAACAACCAAAAGCTCACCGCGCAGGAGCTTTGCAACAAGCACCCCTGTCCCGAAGATTGCCACTGGAGCGATTGGTCCGCCTTCACAGACTGCAGCCAGGCCCCGGCCATCGAGTAATTAGCGTTGGATCAAAGGATGTTCGATCGAAGCGGAAAGCGCGGAGCAAATTTGGAGGGGTAACTTCCCTGAAACGGTGGTTTGAATTGAGAGCAAATGTTGGGTAGCTCCCAGTTGACTGGTTGTTTGGACTGGGATAGTGATTCATGCAGCCCCTGTATGTTGGGGTACTTATGTGCCCCCTTAAAGGGTGGTATTAAGCAGCGGCTTGGCTCTACCAAGGACTCCGGGAAGTTCGGCCGCTCAATCCAAGGTTTGACGAATATCCTGTGCTCTTCCCTGATCAACAGGGTCGATCACCTCAGGCTTACTGGAAAGGCCATCTGCAGCCGACGGGTTGCCAAAGACTGCGGTGATATGGGGTACCCTGTGGAGTGGTTTTTGATGATCTGACAAGCCAAGGCGCCCGAAAAAGAATGAAGCCCAAATGCGCCCTCATTCAGGGTCCTTTGACGACCCAGCCCCTCGGGGGTGGCTGGTTGCAGTTTTTGAAGTCAAACTCACTGGTCAGTTTGGGAGACAATGCATGCTGACCGCCCCCCCCTCTCCAGGAAGAAGCTAAACAACAAAAACAACCAAACAAGGCAAAAACAACGACGGGTCGGAAAAGCCGTGCCGGCGTGACCCGCGAAGTGAAAGCCTCGCGCCGGAACACGCCAGGTGTTTCATGAAACAGGGCAAGTACAGTCAGCTTGGGTCGTGAGAGGATGGCAGGTGGCTTTTTGCTCATCCAGGATGCACCTTTGGATTCGTTTGTTACAGAAGGCGACACCCCAAAGCACCTCAAGTTGAGGGCTTCTTTAACTTGATTCCCTGCGGGAATCGGTCAAAAGGCCGTTTGCCCTGGTCCTGTAGCTTCCTTTTACCCAACCGCAATTCACACAAAATGGGTCCCCTTGGGACGTTTTGAAAAAACACAAATCTGAGTTCGATGCGATCGGAGTCCTTCAGAATGATTGGTTGAATTTGAAGTTCTTTGATTTTTCTCCCATTGAAAGACGGGACACGATTTAGGCCCGCTTTGTGACACAAATTCCCTGTTCGCACGGGCTTTTTATTGCGGTGGTGGAAACTTACCTTGGGAATGACCACTATCCGGGAACTCAACCGCTGGTTGACTACAATTGACTTCCCCAAACCGTTTTGGTTGATACCCCTTCTCCATGTTGGTATCGCAGAACGGGTCGAATCATTTTCCCCATGTTGGTAGTTTGTCTCAAGCAGAGTTTGGACTCCTGCCCCACCCCATTTGTCTGGGGGCGGTTTCCCGGCATAGTTTTTTTTGTTGTTTTGCTCAAAACATAGAAGGCCCTGGTTCATTTGGTGGTTCAATCATCTACCAGGGAAATCCATCTATTTTCCAACAAGGACACCTAATGTTAACCCCGGATTAATAACCCCTGGTTGATGAATACGGTTTTAGTGGGGATTCAGACCACTTTTGGAGGGAACAACCCCCCATTTGTCTGGAGAACCGACCCACTTCTCGCGCAGACCTGCGGCGGCGGCACCACATCCCGCACGCGCACCGTGGCACCTCGGCGCCGCGCGCGAGTCGCGAGTCACGAGTCGCTTGCGGGGAGAGGGGAGGGGTGGGGGGAGATATAAGGGGCACAATAATCACACACACACACACGATTTTCCTGACGCTCATGACCGAATCTGGCGTTCAATCCGAACCCCGTTCAAATGATATAGGCCCTTAGAGTTGTATCTCTACACGTCTGAATCTCTCCAACCTCGGTGTTCCATCTCAGGTGAAGGAGGCGCACGACAGCGGCGCCCCTTGTTTGGGCGACGCCAAGGAGGAGCAGCCCTGCGGAACGCCGGAGCCCCGAGAGCCCTGGACGGGCGACGCTTCAGCGGGGTGGCGGCGACGGGACAAGTTCGGCGCTTCGGGCTCAAACCTCTTGGCCCCATCTTTGTGGCATTATATGTATGCAGCATGCGTGTATGTATGTGTGTATAGATACTATATATATATATATATGTATGTATGTATTCACAAAACGCAAAGCATATGATAATCCCAAATGGCTTTCAGTACCCCCAAACCACCAATTGCCTTTTAAAAGTGGGCATATACCTTGAACATTGCCGATAGTGGGGGGGGGGTAGGGGTTAGGATTGGACAGGATCCATCTTAGACGTATGTAAAGGGGCAGCTATACTTGATAGGCACAGGTAGACGAAGGGAGACCTAACTGACGTAGAAGCTACCAAGGTTTGAGCGTTTTGACGCAGGTGGCCAAATTCTGGTAAAAGAGCATGAGCAACAAAGCTGTCGCCGGCCGTTCTTTGAGGCAAATCGTCCCTGGTGGTTGAAACCCACGCTAATTCAGCACCTAAGCATTGAAATGGTCAACGTTTGGGAACATCTCGCATCTTTGCCCTTGACCAGCATGGTGAACAAAGGAAGCAATTGAGTCCTGTTTTCAGGATTGAACGTTGACCTAGTTAATCCAAAGCAGTTCATTACTCCGACATCGTTTGATGCGTTTGATGCGGCTCTCAGCCAGAACTGACCAACACATCCCGGACCCCTTGTGTTGGAGATTGCGAGGCGGTCTGTTGGCATTTGCTGCTTGCCATCTCAGTGGCAATCCCTTGGATGCGCTGAAAAATTCTATGTTCTCACCCTTGTTGGGTGACGTGCCAAATGGGGGCCATGCTGAAGCCCGCTCCAAACGCGGCGAAGGGTGGACTCTTGATGGATGTTCAGAGTGCAACGTGCCAGGGCCATGCGCCGAACAACGCGCTTCTCGGTTCCTTTTTGATATTCACGTCATCAGATGTCAGGACAACATGGCTGAAGTCACCTGAGCCACGTGCTCAAAACCCACGTAAGTGAAGGTTAGTAAGGGACGATCCCAGCCATAAATAGCTGCGGATATCCGCCTTCTTATTGAAGCATGGTTCTGGGATTACGACCATTTGTGTACCGAGTTTTGAGCAAGCGACTCGCCCGTTTCCTGTAAATCGTTTCGGAATCTGTCGGCACGGATCACATCCTCTGGTGTTCAACCCACTTGAGCAGGTCAATCAGGACCATGGTTCTGAGCAGACTAACCCAGCCGCCCCAGTTCTCACCATGATTATAACCTACAAGGGCCCCAAGAATCAGAATCGGATTCTAGACTTTAAAACCACAAGTCATGATCAGGGAACCATGTGTCGCTTTTTTCGCCCTTTACATGTTACTTCTGCGGGTTGAAAACGTCGATCTGCCCATCGGGGAGACGCAGCGAGAGAGAAATATCCGCGAGGTCGGAGTGCCCCGCAGACTGCCAGTGGGATGAGCACCTCGAATGGAGAGCTCCGTGATTCGCGCCGTCCCTTGAAATTTTACTTTCAAAAGCAAGACACGGGATCGATTTAAACCACGGGTTCCTTTTTGTGGGTTCCTTTCCTTTCTCAGTTCCTTGTCAGGGGCTTCCTTAACACAAATGTCGCTGGTCAGCTGGAGCCTGCCCTAGCTGTTTGAGAAAGGCTCCCCTTTCTCAAGCAATCAAGAGGTGCCCTGCGCTTCCAGCGGCGGAATTTCACCCCTGTAGGTCCTGTTGACGATAGTTCGGGGTTTGGAAACACGGGGCAGCCTCAAGAAGGGTGGGCCGTATAGGTGTTGTAGTATGAAAGGCCTTCTGAAACCTACCATCTTGGCACTTGTTTGTCACTAGGTTTCGGGTGCAATGGCAAAAAGGGCTCTCTTATTTGCCAGTCCAAAGAGCAAATGGGATATGACCCAAGATTGGTGTGTGTTTTAAGGCTACTCTGCCTACCTTGGTTTGAAGGGAAACCACAAGCGCACTTTTTTGGGGGGGTCCCCGAATAAAATACATATCCTTGTGGTTTTCATTTCGCCGCCAGAAGAAGTACGCACCCTGCGAAGGCATAGGCTATGCCCTGCTTGAGGCAAGGGACTGACTTGCACCTCCAATATGTGCCATGGTCAAACCCACTTGGGTGGTTCGGGATTGAACCCTTTGCTACGAATGCTAGACAAACACTGTGGGGTTTCTATTGGGGGAGCCGCGACCATGGCCCACACACAAGGCGCTCTTACCATGACACGCACATAGACACATGTATATCCCGGTGAATATCCAGAAGTGCAATGTCGTTGACTGAGACGAGGGAGAGACCGGCTCTGACACGTATCAATGTCAGCCTCGGTATCTCAGCGCCGCATTGGTATCAGCCCCATTGCAGTTGCTTGTCAAAGTCTGCTGAGAGGAATTCATTCAAAGGCCGTCTTTGCGATTTGGGCATGTGTCAAAGTAGGGGGACCCCAAACTGGGGGTGGGGTGGCGGGGGGTGTCCTTTTGGTTCCCCTTGAAACCGCCCTGAGGGCACCAACTGCAAGAGACAACAGAACCATGTGACTCCGAGCTTCCCAGCTGCCGACAGGGGACAAATGCTAAGGCGTTGAACTGAACGAACTGTTTTTTCGTGTTCTGTTTTTTTTCTCGTTTCACCTGGGCTCAATTTTGCTTTTGGGTCGATGATATTTTGGAATAGGACAGCTCAAACTTTGCGGGGTTTCCTGTTGGCCTCCCTTCAAACTCTTAGATCTCCATTTCTCCTTCTCGCCTTGCTTTACTTTTTGTGGTCTCCCCGTTTTTATCCGCCAATGCTTGGATTCACTCACACTTAACGGACACCCTTTTTGACCAAGGGGTCCTTTCTTCAACGTTTCTGGGTTCCCTTTTTTCTCGAGGGAGAAAGAGGGCCGTCCCGGTGTTTCTTTACGGAAGTGTCCAAACATAATCAGAGGGCCCCAGAGTCTCAGCGGGTTTGCGGGTTCTGATCGCTTGCACCGAAGGACGATCATGGCGTTTTTCACTTCCGATTAATCGGAACCCAGTTATTAGAACCCGTTCAAGGGGTCCCCCCCAAAAAAAACCACGGGTTCCCGGTCAAATGGGCCCCCCCAGTCCCGATCAAATCTGGGGAATCAAAGGCCGTCATTCCAAGCCTTGAGAAGCTTGGTGTCAAGTCCATTTGGCGGTCTTTTCAGAATTGGCCTTTTCAGGAGCTTGATCTCGTGGTGTTCCGAACCCCATCCACCCGGGTCATGACCCCTACTCCTCAAGAACCCTCAACAACAACCCATTTGGAGGGCACAAAAAACTGTCGGGACCCCAGGAAAAAAAGGGACCCTTAGGGCAGGATCTCCAAGCCCCAGGAAGAAACACCCCATCGGAAAAGAAGCCCGTGCTCCCATCGAAAAGATGTTCCACGCCCATCCAAGGCCATCCGGTCACCCCATGGGTTGAAGCTTCCGGCGCGCGTCAGCGTCGCGTCGCGTCTCAGGTGGAGCCCTTGGACCGGCTGCACCCGCACCTGCGACGGGGGGGTGATGACCCGGCAACGCCGCAGCCTCGGAGGGTTCCGGAAAGTCCCCTCTGCGTGGGTTGTCCGTTGGAGCCAAGAGGAGCCGGCGGTGCAATTTTTTTGTGTGCTGTTCCTGTTCTTCCCCTTGTTTTTTTTTTTTTTGGGGGGGGGGAGGGTTGTTAGTTTGTGTGTGTGTGTGTGTTTTTTTTTTTTTTGGGGGGGGGGTTTGTGTGTTGTTTGTTTGTTTGTTTGTTTGTTTGTTTGTTTGCTTGCTTGCTTGCTTGCTTGCTTGCTGCTTGCTTGCTGCTGCTGTTTGCTTTGTGTGTGTTCTCTTTTTCTCTTTTTTTTTTTTTTTTTTTTGGGGGGGGGGGGGAGGTTGTTTGTTTGTGTGCGCGTCTTCTTTTTGTTGTTTGTTTGTTTGTTTGTTTGTGTGTGTGTGAGTGTGTGTGTGTGTTTTTTTTTTTTTTTTGGGGGGGGGGATTGGTACTCGGTTTTCCATTTGGGTATAGGTTCGTTTCCTCGGCTTCAGCATGGGAGTTGCTCAAAGGGGAAACCAAAAGGAGCCCACGCTTTTTGTTTTCACAAACCTACTTTGAGAACCCATATAAACCTTCTCCACCTTACCAACGTCAATGGGTTTTTATCGCCCCATCATATTAACCACCCAAGGATTACGCCAAGAGCTGCAATGCGGGTTCAACTCCCCGCCTTTGACTCGTCGGCTTCCTAGGGGACACCCAGACTTGTTGCGCAGGGAATGAGATGAGAATTGGAATGACCCCTATGAGCATCCCCTAGGGCCCCTCTGGTTTCCTTTCATCCCCAAAACCGGTTCGTTCCAACAGCACCCGGACTCGTTGTCATTTCCTAGTCGCATCACCAAAAAGCTTCCGCTTGGTGCCTCAACGACGCTGAGCAGCTGCCAAGCCGGCAGAACCCGTGGAGTCGGTTGCAAAGCTTGGTGCTCGATTTCAATACTTGGGTCTGTCTTTTTTTGAGGGTCCCCCTTGTTGTGTGGAAAACGGAAATCAAAAGGAAAGCCACCATTCTGAGTGGTCTCCTTAAAAACGACATGCCCACTTGTGTTTAGGCAAGAGTCAAGAAACGATTTCAATACTTGTGCTGTCATGGGGGCTGGGCGGGGGGGAGGGAGGGAGGGGGGAGAGGGAGCCCTTATTGAGCCCTTTTTGAGCCCAACAGCACCCGGACTCGTTGTCATTTCCTAGCTGTCGCTCCAGCAAGTTATTGGTCGCAAAAGTTTGGTATAATGAATAAGTGGCATTCAACATTCTATCCGAATATCGAACTTCTATCAGCCATTTTCAGTATTCAAGTTCTTTCAAAGGGTTGGGTTACAGAACATTCTACAGGAAAACAGCTGATTTATGTTGTTTTGGGGCCATTTCCTGTAGATTTTCCGGCAGCCAAACCCGCTGATCTTTGGCATTCCTTGGGTCCACATCTTCCCAGCGAAATGCAGGCGACATCTTGGAGCCGGGCCACGACGGTGGCCTGGACTGCCACGGGGAGTCCTCCCAGCAGGCGGTGTGCGGCAGCGTGCAGTGCCGGGAAGCCCAGCAACGAGGCTCAGGCACATAGTGTGTGTGTGTGTGTGTCTGTGTCTGTGTGGGTGGGTGTGTTTGTTTGTTTAGTTTGTTTAGTGCGTTTGTTTGTTTGTTTGTTTGTTTGTTTGCTTGCTTGTTTGTTTGTTTGTTTGTTTGTTTGTTGAGTTGAGTTGAGTTGAGTTGAGTTGAGTTGAGTTGAGTTGAGTTGAGTTGAGTTGAGTTGAGTTGAGTTGAGCTTAGTTGGTTTGTGTGTTTGTTTGTTTGTTTGTTTGTTTGTTCGTTTGTTGAGTTGAGTTGAGTTGAGTTGAGTTGAGTTGAGTTGAGTTGAGTTGAGCTTAGTTGGTTTGTGTGTTTGTTTGTTTGTTTGTTTGCATAGTTTGTGTAGGTTGTTTAGTTTGTTTAGTTAGTTTAACTGTTTGCTCGCTTTGTTTTGTTTGTGTGTCTACAATTTTTGTTTGCGTAGTTTGTTTAGTTTGTTTAGTTAGTTTTGTAGTTTGTTTAGTCTGTTAGTTTGTTTAGTTTTTTTTTAGTTTGACTAGTTTGTTTAGTTTGTTTAGTTTGTTTAGTTTGTCTGTTTACTTTGTTGACTTTGTTTAGTATGTTGGTTTAGTTTGTTCAGTTGTTTCCTTGTTTGTTTGTTTGTTTGTTTGTTTGTTTAATTTGCTTAGATTGTTTAGTTTGTTTAGTATGTTTAGTTTGTTTAGTATGTTTAGTTTGTTTAGTATGTTTAGTTTGTTTAGTCTGTTTAGTTTGCTTCTTAGTTTGCTTGTTTGCTTAGTTTGCTTAGTTTGTTTAGATTGTAAAGTTGGTTTGTTTGTTTAGTTTGCTTGTTTGTTTACTTTTTTCAGTTTGTTTGGTTTGTTTGTTTAGTTTGCTTGTTTGTTTACTTTTTTCAGTTTGTTTGTTTAGTTTGTTTTGTTTGTTTTGATTGTTTGCTTTGTTTAGTTTGTTTCTTAGTTTGTGTGTTTGCTTAGTTTGCTTAGTTTGTTTAGATTGTTGAGTTAGTTTGTTTGTTTAGTTTGTTTAGTTTGTTTAGTTTGTTTAGTTTGTTTAGTTTGTTTAGTTTGTTTAGTTTGTTTAGTTTGTTTAGTTTGTTTAGTTTGTTTAGTTTGTTTGTATATTTTGCTTGTTTGTTTAGTTTGTCAGTTTGTTTGTTTGTTTGTTTGTTTAGTTTGTTTAGTTTGTTTCGATTGTTTGTTTGATTGTTTACTTTTGATTGATTGTTTACGTTGCCGCGTTTCTTTGTTTGTTAAGTATGTTTAGTTTATTCGTTTGTTTAGTTTGGTTTGTTTAGTTTTTGTCTGTTTATTTTGTTTGTTTAGTTTGTTTAGTTTGTTGTTTAGTTTGTGAGTTTAGTTTGTTCAGCTGTTTCCTTGTTTGTTTGTTTGTTTGTTTGTTTGTTTGTTTGGATTGTTTGTTTGCTTAGTTTGTCTAGTCTTTTTTTTAGATTGTTTAGTTAGTTTGTTTGTCTGTTTACTTTGTTAAAGTTGTTTGTTCAGTTTGTTTAGTTTGTTTGTTTAGTTTGTTTTTTTTGCGACGGGGACCCTCCGTTTGGTTGGGTTTTAAAGGGGGACCACATTGAAACCGGTGTATTTTTTTGGTTGTGGGGGGGGGGCTGGCCGAAAAACAGGACACACCCATGTATCTGCATGCTTTGTCGGGGGCACCTTTTTGTTTTGAGGGGAGGCATAGGGAACCAAATGAAAATCACCGATTCGGGGGAACCCTTCTTGGGGGTGGAAGGGAAGCCGAGGGGAGACCTTTTGTTTGGAGGTCTCCTGTTTCAAGACATACTCCGATTTCCCGTTTGGGTGCTTTTGAACATCACCTTTTGGCGTTTGGGTTGAGCTTCCTGCAGGTGCGATGTGTTGTGGGGACATATAGGTTTTGGTGCATTTTGCTTGGATGCTAGGATTTTAACATTTTGCCAATTAATGGGTTTTCCATTAAACCAATAAACTCTTAGGAGGGGAGCAGAAAGCAACCGAGTAGGGATCCCTTGACAGATCCGGGGGCTCGCCCGTCAAAAGGGGATCGAATAGATATGTTCAGCCCGCCTTTTTTGATGGCGAGCGATTCCACCTGGTAGCATAAGCTATGCTGTAGGTCCTTTGGGGATCCCTAGGTTTGGAATGATTGTAGAATTTGCAGATGGACGCCTGCGACATGAATTTTCATGAGCTGAACAATAGAATACAATCGATATATCTAACTGCACAATGTGTTCAAGCGCAGTACACCCGTTTTAACTCATCCCAGCTTGGACGCTCAATCCACTTAAGAAGTAGGCTATCACCATGGATATGCGGGGACTGACCCCAGTTACACACCCCAGTTACAACCGTGACCACAACTCACTTAGTCAGACAGGTTGAAGATCCGAGATGGCTTTGATCCCAAGCCTCCAGATTCTGCGCAGTTGGAGGATCTGCTCAGATGCTCACAGGCAAGCTGGATGAATCTCGTTGCTACGCCGCCGGCGCCGGGCGGCAAAGGAAGAAGGCTCCGGTGATGACACGGGCTGCGAACTTGCATTGCCAGCCCCGCGAGTGCAGCTGTGCAACTGCAGCACCCACATGAAGGAGTGGAAGGCGTTTGACCGGTTCATCAAGAACAATGGACAGGCTGCCCCAGAGCTCAGCCGCGCCTTCCAGCCAGGATGACGGATACCAGGATGACATAATGAGATGCACTCAACGGACGAGAACACCGAGCCTCACAACCCGAATTGTTTTGTGGGCCAAGATTCGCAACAGGATCTCGGGTCTAGGAAAAGTGTTCATGGCTGAGACTCCTGTCAGGTTTCCAGGCTCGTTTTTTTGGCCGAGGGGAGAGGGTTAGTTCAGAACTCCTTTGTGGCCTCCATTATCACTCTTTTATATGGGGTAGACCAGAGATGAAAGAGATTGAGCACCCCTGCAAATGAGTGTCCCAACAGGGGACTCCTCCCGCCCAACAAAACAAAACAACAAGACATAAGAAGAGTGGCCGTTTCCTGGTTTCATTTGGCCATGGGTCAAAACCAATGGTACCGTTTTAAGATAGGCAGTTTAACCCCAAACAAAGGTAGCCCTTGGTGGTTGCCAAGTTGGCCACGGGACTCGAGGCCCGGTGGACTGCGTGGTCACCGATTGGTCGCCATGGTCCGGGTGCTCCGCCACCTGCGACGGGGGCGTCATCATGAGGCGCGCATAGGTGTCCTTTTAAGCTGGTTTGCTTTAAAAATAGAGGGCCCTGGTGTAGATGGGGTTGATTCCATTTACCAGGGCCATCTGGTTTTTTCCAAAAGGCAACCTATAGAGGCACCGCCGGAGCGCCGGAGCTGGCGTTTCGTCTTCTAGCATCCACTGCGCCAAGAGGAAACCCACATCTAACCCCATCTGAGAGGTTGGAACAAGTTCAAACGAACCAACAAAAGCTTATCCCAAGTTTGCTAAACCACAAAGCCTTAACATGTAAAACACAATCGTCCAGCAATACCTTCCATTTCCATTCTTTCCAGGGATCCGAATCTTTTCAGGAAGCCATCCAACAACCCAGGCCGGTTTTTGAAAAACAACGATGCTTGAAAAGAATGGGGAACCAACCCCTAGAACAAAGTGATGCTTAAACCGGCTTAGGGAAGTATTGAGGGTACATTTGCAAAGATTGCTTGAAAAGGACAGCGAAAGGACACCATGATTGGTGTTCCCCAATTTTGAGACGTACTCACTTGAGCCACAATGAAAGCCTAGTACTGAAGGGGGTCTACCCAACATGTAAGGAATCACAAGGGGGGAGCATCTGTTTCTGGCTGGGACTATCCCTTAGCACACTTCATTCTTCATTTTAGCTCGCTTGGATTGTCCTTTCACGCAACAGGAAAGGCGATCGCAACATGGTTGTGTCGGAACTTGCCCTGGTCACCTCGAGTTATAACGATGGTTCTAAGCTAGTACTATGTGGGTTGAACATCCCCTGCGGAGCAGATGTTGGTATGAATTTCGACGGGGACCGTTTGGTGGGCATCAGTCATAGCCGTATTTCTCGTTAGGCTTGGAGGAAGATTGGCTGCATTGGCTTTTTGAGTTTCGTGGCCTAAAGTACAATTCCAGCCGCAGCTTGCAACCATTGCAAGTTGGTTCGCTGGAAAACCCAAGGGGAGCCCACGGATCGATCCGGAGCGAATGGGCCCACACAAAAAGTATCCAAACGATCGTAGGGCATGCAAAGAAGGGCCCAGAGGGAGTGTCCTAAACAGCTGGGTGTTTTTTTGGTTAATTTGCGGGAGAGTAAGGTCCCAAGCTTGACCCTTCCAATTGAAGTACTTTATCTAGGGGCTGCCATGCTTGTGGACGGAGGGTACCGAGATTGGACATGCTCAATTTGCACCATGCGCGCGGGGGAGTTCAAAGCTGACCCAAAAGGCCTCAAGGAAATGCTTGCTTTACCCGGCCTCCACCACACCCAAATGAGCATGCTTGGTGTCCGTTGAGCCGAGTTAGTACTTGGCTTCTATAAAATTCCCCAAGATTTGCCCCTGCAGTAAGTCTTGCACTTAACCATATTGAAAGCTGCTTGCTGCATGACTTACCGTAAGTGGGTCATAACCAACAACCAACCTGCTGCAAATGGATGTCGACAACGGTCAGGTGACCCACAGCTGACCTGAACAAACAGCCTGCTGTAAGGCTCCGCGCTCCCAACCGCCTCTGCTTGCAGGTTCCGCATCGAGTCGGTTGAGGCGGCCACTTGCCCTCAAAGAAGCAATTTGATGGTTTCCGCCGCAGGTACCCCCAAAGCGAAGCTGGAGGAAGATTGGCATGTGCCCTTTATACTGTGGCTATGTTGTGGATGTTTAGAAGGAACTTCCGTGGTGTGGCAACGAGTTGAAAGCTAGCTTTCTGAGACAGATGACAAGACAAAAGTCAGCATGCGGAAGCCATTTCGCGCGCGGGAAAGAAGCGGCGCGTGTTTGTGGTGGCAGAAAGGTGGAACAAGTGCAAACTTCCGCGGGTGTCGGTGCCTTGGGATGCTTGAAAGTTAGCCACAGATCGCGACGCTTGGTCGGGAGCAGGCTCCAAGCAGGCGTTCGGAGCAGGCGTTCGGAGCAGGCCCGTCGGCGCGGACGCCAAGCGCTTCTCGCAACCTTAGCTTGCGTGGCGGGCGCAAGCGCTTTTGCAAGGTCAGGTGCAGATTTCTTGGCGGGCGCTGTGCTCTACGTGGCAGCAGCGCTTTTGCAGGGCCATAGGCAGCTAGATAAAAGAGAGAGAGAGAGAGAGAGAGAGAGAGGCCAGCTAGATAGATAGATTCATAGATAGATAGATAGATAGATAGATAGATAGATAGATATGTAAACAGAGATAGATAGATGAATCGCATGAATACACGCATAGCTGAAAGGTAGAGAGCTAGATAGTTGGATAGTGGGAGGTTGGATTGAGAGATTGGTGCATTGCTAGACAGATAGACAGGAGCAAAGAAAAAGCAGAGAGAGAGAGAGAGAGACAGAGAGAGAGAGAGAGAAAGACCGAAAGAAAATGAAGAAAAGAAGGAAAGAAGTTTCTAATGGAAGAGCGTAGCGGTGCCATTTTATAAATTAACAGCATGAGTCAAAATGGGCTGCCATTTTGGCGTAAAACAGCCAGGCACACCGGTGCCATTTCGTTTGAGGCTTTTGGAGGGGCCTGGAGGGCCCCTTTGGGTGGGGAATGCAATCTTGGCACCCACACAATTCTGAGAAAAGGAAAAGGATCTGTAGGTGGCATTTTCGCAATTGGTAATTTAGAAAGAAAGGAAGGAAGGAAGAAAGAAAAGAAATGAAAAGAAAAGAAAGAAAGAAAGAAAGGAAGGAAGGAAGGAAGAAAAGAAAAGAAAAGAAAAGAAAAGAAGGAAAGAAAAGAAGGAAAGAAACAAAGAAAAAAGGAAAGGAATACAGAAGGAAAGAAAGAAAAGAAAAGAAGAGAAGGACATACATAAAGAAAGAAAGAAAAGAAAAGAAGTAAAGAAAGAAAGAAAGAAAGAAATAAAGAAAGAAATATCGAAAGAAAGAAAGAAAATAAAAGAAGAAAAGGAAAAACATGAAGAAAGACAAAATGAAAGAAAGAAGGAAAGAAAGGAATAAAGAAAGAATGAAAGAACAAATGAAAGGAATATAGAAGGAAAGAAAAGAAAAGAAGGACAGAAATAAATAAAGAAAGAAAGAAAGAAAGAAAAGAAAGAAAGAAATAAAGACATATATAAAAGAACAGAAAAGAAAAGGAAAAAGAGAAAAGAAGGCGAAGAGAAGCGAAGCGAAGCGAAGCGAGCAAGCAAGAAGGAAAGAAAGA